AGACTTAGGGATTCAAGGGCGTATCTATGATTTTTTTTTTGAAGGTGGCGCCTAAGAAATTTTCAATCAGATAGAAAATTCTCCAAATAAAAAAAAATTATATTTATGGCTATATGGCTATATAACTGTGTACCCATAATATTTATATTTTATATATACCTATACCTAACTATAATTTCGAAAAAAATAAAAATATGTTATAATTTAAAATAAATATAATAAATAATATTTTTAATTTATTAAATGATCAATTTAAGTCACATTGAGCCTGCTTTCCTAGTTAAAAAAATTCTTCTGGAGTTCGAAAGGATTAATGATTTACTTCAGAAAACAGCGATTTAATGAATTATTTTACATATTCTGTTGATAAACAATATAGCTACCGGTTGTGAGGAACTGTGGTAGCATACACTTTAAAAAATGTGTAACAATTCCTATAGATATCGGTTTAACAAACATTTGTATGCCAAAATAGTACACAGTATAATATTGTTTACATTTTTTTTTAAGTAATGATTATTGTATTATAGATATTAGAAACTTCAAAATCAAGATGTACATATTATTTTTATTTTCATAATTTCTTTATTAGTTACAAAATGTATCACGGTTAATATGGTTAAAATTGTAAATAATACAAATTATGGATATCATTAATCGACAGTATGGGTGTTAAGTACTCACACTGAAATTTAGATAAATTATAGGATTTACCCAGATTTTACTATGGATTCATGGTCATTAATTACGATTTACTATAAAACAAGAGTTATAATATACTTAATATCAGGTAACATTTAAAGTAGTATGCTATTATGCAGTATTATTATAGTTGTAAGTTATCCCTATTACCTATATGTATTACAGATACGAAGTTCATAGTAGAATTTATTATTTATTGTTAAACTGACTATGTACAACCTACTCCATGTAATTTGCTAACAATATGCCAAGATATTGACATAATATTGTACAAAATATTATTTAAAAATAAATGAAAAAAGAAAATAGACTACCTTTAGAAATTGTAAAGTTTAATTGTTTTGTGTTTAAATACTAACCTCCTCGAGCCTTTAAAAAGTATAATCATAAAATAACACCAGTGCACAGGTTTAACTAGCCTAAATTAGTTACTCAAAAATTTCTTGGACTATGAAAAAAATAATAAAAGAGTGAAAAACCTTTGAATTACAATACTCAGTAGACATAAAAAGGGTGCATGTAAAAAATCATTCTTGAGTACTGTGTAGGTACTTACCCTAGTCTCTAATCGTAAATGGTCAATAGGCAATAACTTTAGTTCATCAAAATAGTATTTCAGAATTTAAATTCTGTCTAAATATTATTCAAAGATTAAATTGGTTGCTACAAATTACAAAAAACATTACGTCGATATACCTTGCAATAACTTACACTTACATTTAATAATTCATGAAAAAAAATAAGTATTTAAAAAGGCCATGAAAAGATTATTTAAGTTATGCCCCATATAAATAAAAAAATATTCCACTGACCATACTGATCACTACAAACTCCATATTAATTAATAGGTATCCAAAACCTTAACTAATTTAAAACAATTTAATGTGGCAAACCCTAATATCGGTAAGAATAACTCTTTTGGCCACCACTCATCGATATAATAGTGAAGAAGTGTCGAACAATACTTATTAGTTAATATAGAATACTAAAATATAATTACTTACATCAAAGTTATAAGTTATAACATTATATCAATTATAATAATAATAACAATAATAATAATACTAATAACTAATAAGTAATAACCAATGAAAAGCACAATAAATAGATAGAGGTATAAATCATAATAGAATATTGTGTTGTATTTCTATATTTTCCCGCTCTTATTTCGCGCCAAATGAAAATAATATGGATAAAAATAATCCAACATTTGGCTCAGTACCACATAATTATTTTTATATTTTGTATTTTGTTAACATATGGTTCACATTTAGGCTCCATATTTTTATTATACATAATTTATAATATACTAGAATTTAATTTATTTATTAAAATATTTTTTACCAAATATTGGTTTAAGTAAACATTTTTTATTAATTAATTACTGCAGATCATTATTATTTAATACAATAAAAGATTTATCGAGTTATTATTTTGTGTGGGTATTTTTGTTTTCAGTTGTCATATCATTTATCTGTCTTAAAAATATTTTTATGCACTTAATCATTTAAAATTTATATTAAAAAATAATTTTAAAAAAACGGTATGTTTAAGCCTCTATATTATTGTATTATTATTTATTACCTATGTGGCTATGTGCAATTTATTAAAATAAACATTATAGAGGTATATATATATATATTATATTAAGATTATAAAAATGATTCAACAATGTACCTTTGAAAGTATGAACACTATTAAATAAAGAATATTCTTATGATAATTTTAATATTATAAATAAAACTTTATTATTTCCATTCTAACCACTAACTGCAAATGTTAGCAGTTTTTAGCATTTAATGGTTTTAATTTAAAATATTCAAACAATTACATTTTTTTAATATTCTGAGTGAATTTTTTTTTTAATTTTAAATTATGGAATCATATTAAAAGTTAAAACTATTAACATTAAATGTCGAAAATCTATAAATTAGTTGTACAGGGTTTCAGCTAAATCTTTTGACAAATCATCAGTATTTTAATATTCTGCCAAAATTTAAAAATATTATGAAATAAAAATCTTAGAAGCATAGTACATAGTTATAACTTTATTATAGGAACTACCTAGCTTTGCTTGAAATCAAAAATAGTGTTATGTATTCATGTATTATGGTGTTGACAGTTGACACAATGAATTGAATTATATCATGATGTCAGCATAAATTATTATATACTTATATTCTGATAATTTATAATGAGTTATGATTATGAAAAATATTCACTAGGCACCTAGTTAAATTATGTATATTCTTGTACGACTTATGGTAGGTACTTACTTGTATAATGCATTTATATTTAGATATAAAATAATAGCATACATGCCGTTTTATAAAAAAGCAATCAGCAATAACAAAAAACGACAATGTTGAGTAGGTATTGTTTTAGCTTTCAATTCAATGTTTATTATTTCGACCCACCCTACGTACTGTGTAGTCAATAGATAGTAGACACCTATGTCAAATAATAAATTTCTATTTTTAAATTACTTCCGTCAGTCCAATCTCGGTTAATTAACATTTTTCCCTCCATTATATAACCAACGATGGAACGAAAAAAAAAATTAAAAATGTGAACTCGTTTATTAGATTATTATCTTCATACACAATAAACATTTTTCATATTCTTCACAATCAATCAACTTTTTTACCTTTAGTCATGTAGATAAATAAATATAGTTAAACATATATATATGTTTTTGTTTACAGAAGTGCTGTAAAATATGTATAGACTCTAGGCAGCTAGGTATTTTAAAATGACAAACTAAAAACATTGATTTTATCTGAAATTTGAATTGATAGATTCGAGAAATCAAATACATAATCTGAAATATAAGTATAATATTTATTATAGAATAAATTAGAAATTTGTGATAATAAGTGATTGACACTGAATTTCAGGCCGTGTAATCGTAAATTCATCCTATATACGCAATATAAATATAATAGTTGCAGGATTATGTACGATTATTATTCATATTTCAAATAAAAAGTATTAATGTTTTTTTTGCACAATGAAATGTTAAAAGTATTAAGAATTCTGACATTAATATTTTGATCTTTGATGTTTGAACAATAGAATAAAACATATCCAACCAATACGTTTATTTTAAGCTTCCATCCGACCTGCATCCTGCACTATTACTGCGTGCCTGCGTACCATACACGGGATATATTTTATAATTTTGAGATAGGCCTAGAACTGTAGAAGGTACTTTATATACTGAGTTATTCAATAAGTACGCCAGTGCACAAAATATACGTTTTAATTTATAATAACCTAATATAGTCTGCAGTGGCTGTTTCGACAAGGGGAAACTGGAGTGTACCTATCCACTTTAGTTTTTCTTACAAAGGTTATTCAAAATCCGACTATAATACTCTAATATAGTTCTTATTTTTAAATTACGGCGCGTGCATTAAAAAAAATAAAAAAACGATGGATCTGTTTTCATAACCCCATCCACATTTCTTCTTAAAAATCAACACTACTCATTACTCAACAGTTGTGATGTATATTCGGTATTTCAAGAGCTCTCTACGACTAGACTCATTTTGATTATTTCAATATAATATAGAAGAAACAAGGGCGGTGACGGTTTAATAATATATAAATTCTTAGGTATAAAATTTATAATGTAATCATTACATTCTAATTAGTAATTATATAATGTGCACCGTCCGTAATGATTCGTAATATTATAATAATCAGAGAGGTGCTTCTATATAATGGGTACCTAAAATTTTCCCGTATATAGTCTCACCTGTATCTCGTGTATTAATAGTGTTTTTCTTTTTTAATTATGTTATCAAATTTACTTGTGCCATATATTTAAGTTTAATATATTGTAAATATTTCTTTTAAGTGAAAAAAAAATATAATAATTTATAAACGACTCGATCCCCCTGCAGCGGACGCGATGAACGAACCACACTCACACGTCTATTAATACAACGACCAATGGGCTGTTCCGTTCGCGGTCCCGCCGACACATCTGCCTTGGCATCCGACCATCTCGGCACAATATGTGATGATAAGTCATCCCGCGCCGTCTCGTCGTCTCGTCGCTTGTTCTCCAGTGACATTTCTTTTGTTTTTTCGATTTTCGATCTCTCCTTTGTTCGCGAACACAACAATACATTACATTATTATTGACATTGCATCGAGCCAATATTGTATTACGCAATAACGCATATTATACGTATAATTTGAAGAATAATTATTTTATGAACCGTATCCGACGCGTCACGTTATAATTAATTATTAAACTTATTTATACCTACCAGAGTGTTTAATATTATAATATAGTATTCAATCTTTATCGAACTCATTTTTATTTTTATTTTTTTTCACTTGCTCTCGTTACATGTATTACATATTATTGTACTACAACGAAGCAGTGTCCGCGCCCGTTATTAAAATTCTGTCGCTATCGACAGCGATTAAGTGCGCCTTTTTACAGTTTACACGCCCCACTGCGTAATAATAATAATATATAATCGACATCATCGATAATATTTTATTATTATTACACAAATGAAACAATATAATATCCTTATAGTTTAATTATATCTTTTTTAAATTTTTATGCATCGGAATAAGCATTTATAGAAACAATAGGAACGGTAAAAGGTATTATGTCGTTACGTGATATTTACAAATAAAAAAAAAACGTATTGGTTTCGTTCGTAGTGACGCTTATACGTACGTACGCTTGTAATAAAACTGGCTCGCGTTATTAGTGCCGTGGGATTTTGGCGGACACCGATTCGGATTATGATATTTTTCGGTCTGTACTACATCGTGAAAAGAGCAATATACTTGTCGTCGAAGAAAATATTCAACGGCAGCGATCACAAGCGTAAAAAGTCAAAGCGCAAAAACAAACGGAACATGAAAGGTATAAATATAAATTCATGTTTTAATACAAGTTATACAAATATATTGAATACGGGTTGTAACAAGAAAAAATTAAGATAATTGTCTAACTCAATCTAATAACTTTTGTTCTAATCAATATTTATCATTTTTGAATACATATAAATTTAATTTTTAATGTTTATATAGTAAAAAAAAAGTTATCATAAAATATACTATTAGTATAGGTACTAATTACGTACATTGGGCAGTTCCTTCTGTCACACTCTGTATACAACAATATTTACGTGTACAATACGACTATGCGAGTGAATAACTGATTGAATAATAACAGAATGCATCTCGCTCTCATATAATAATTACATGTTAAATTTATAAGTCCACGTGTGACTCCTGCAGGGACGTGTTTAGGGGAGTTAGTTGGAGATTGCTCCTCGCGGCCCTTTTATGGCGTTTTGTATATGGACATAATTGAGTTTGTTATTATTAAAATATTAGAAATATAAATGCAGCATCAGGCGATAATAGAGCCGTATAGGTGATTATTATTTAACCTTACTATTATGACCTTAGATTATTCTATAATCATTTTAGGAATAAATATTAATGTTTAATACATAATATTATAGGCTATAGTATACAAAATAGTACCCATACCTCAATGGCTCAATCTATCTATGTTGAACATTGAATTTATTTATATTTTACCTATTATTTCAATAGTCTCTAAGGAACGAGTTGATCCATAATTTTGATATTAATTTATAGCAAGACTGGGCTAGTTAACTAATTTTTTTACCTCGTTAAGTTAAGTTAATATTAAAAAATGTAAGTTAAGTTTTAAGTTAAAAGTTACTAATTTTTTTGAACTCTTAAAAGTTGTTATATAGTTAATTAGTTAAGATAATTATTATATATTAATTAATAATGGTTAATATATAATGAGTTAAACCGTGTATAGAATATTGAGTGAATTGTTAATACCTGGCTATAATTTTCTATTTTCGAATCTCGAGAATCTCGAGACGTGGTTACCCCTATAATTTTCTGTCATTATAATATATTCTGTGAATATACAATTTTATAACCATTATTATACATTTGTATTTATTACATATTATATTTTAAGATAACACCTGATCTCCGATTATTATTATTTTTTTTTATAAAATTAAATTTTACAAAATAGAATAAATTTTAAATACGTGGTTTTAGGAAAGAAATTAACTTAATTAGACAACAAAATTAATTAACTCATAAGTTACTTCATACAATGGAAAACAATTCAACTCATTAAGTTAGAGTTTACTTGAAAAAAGTATTTAGTTATGTAACTTAGTTACTTAACTTTAACTTTTTAACTCGTAAATGCCCAGCCTTTCTTATTACTTATTAGTTATTACAATTTGGTAAGTAAATTACTATTTTATTTTTCTTTCATTAATTTTTTTTTAATATTACAAAATGTATGCAACTAATTTTTTTATTGTCAAAAATGCGTTTATAAATTATGAGAAAAATATGTCAACAAATTAATAACAACGGACGAAAATTTTGAATGCGTCTCTGATAATTGCTTAGCAAACTACAAATAAACATAGGTATTATAATATAGTCTATAGGTGTGCCACTATATATGTGTCTAGTCGCAAATATATTACATATATTATATAATGCCTACACCACTACACAGTGTTCAGTGTTCTGAGTGTTCACTCTAATTTCACTATCGATTGGTTTTTTGTTTTGTTTCCATAATCATAATGTTTTATTATAGACGATATAGTAATTACTAATTAGTATAATATACTGCAGCTGCAGGTGTAAAGATAGATAACGCTAATGCACAGCTGATTTCAATGATACATTTGTACGTAGATAGTTAACAATTTACACATAGTATATCGGTCATTGTGATTAGTAATTATTATGGTTTTTTTGCAATAGTATAATGATGGTTAGATATTGAGGTTTCCAATTACTATAGGTATGTTTCTTTTTATACCTACTCTATCTATATGATTCAATAATAATACATTTTTATATACTTAATACATGTCAATATGTCATATAAAATTGATTTTCAAGCACCTTCACTTAGTTTTTATTTGCTTGAAATAAACATTTATTAAATTTTATTTTCTATAGGTACTATGATATATTACGATACATTTTAATAATACCTCCTAAAAATTGACAGGCTGAGTAAAACGTGACTATTTCACTAAACCTATATCACATAGCAATATAGACATATAGGTATCTTGTATAATAATTAAAAAAAATCCGTAGAGGATGGCACAAAAATGGTTTGATCCAAAATCGTTCAAAATCAGACGGCGCACGAGAAGATGAAAAGGCTGGTAAGCTCAGGTGACGACTGCATTTTTCTATAAAACTAAAACTCACAAGTGAAGGAAAATATCGTTCACATGTATACCGTAAACAAAAAACAATGTGTACTGTGGACATCGAATAAATAGTATCTAAATTAACTGGAAAGTCAGTAGCTGTAAAAATACTAATGACTCCTCAATTAATTTACATACCTAATTACAGTATGCTGTATATATAACGGTTCAGGCGTAATAGTTTACTGAGGTCGAAATGACAGACTTTATAAACCACAGTTGAGGCTATCGTCATCCAAATGCTGTACGTTAAGCCATCATGTTTTGTGTTTCTACTACAGGCAGTTTACAGTACTGCACTGCAATAAGGTGTGTAGAGTTGAATATAATCAACTTGTAGTTAACGTGTTACCAATATTTTGTCACCAGCTATTTATTAAATATTTGAAACACGACACGGCATCGTATAGTAGAAATCCGCAGCTTTACTTGCAAGCGGGTAATAGCGTTATTTTCCATTTCAGCCTTATAAATAAAAGGGTCGACAGCCACATTTTCTTTGCGTCTGTCACGCCATCCGATTCGAAAATATAGGTAAAATAAATTTGGAGTCATCGCTTGCGAGTGATGTGTAAAGTTTTGTGTAGAGCGGTGACATGTCCACAAAGCAAATTTTGTACGTATGCATGTTTACTTGCAGTGAACATTTAACATCACTTTTGGTTAGATGTAACGCGTCTCCTGTTTCCGAACAATAGAGATATAAGGGTGGTGCGTCAAGTTATGAGTTTATGAAGAAGGAAGTACCTACATATCAGTCACATATTATATACATACTCGTATTCACAGGTTCGGAGTACCTATATACTAAGATAGTAAGAAACCAATGTAGTGAGTACCTATATATAGGCTATTATGATAAGTAAAATTCATATAAAATCTAGTCAATCTAGATAAAATCCAGAAAAGATATAAAAACAATTGTCACTATACTTTATAAGTAGGTACCTACTTAACGTATTACTTAAAAATTTCAAAAATTAAAATTTGTTTAAATTCTGAGTTTAATTATAAAAATTGATTGAACATATTATTATCGTTGAATTTATTTTTTCTGTTCATTTAAGAAGATGTATGATACTAATTGTTATCATCGGAAATTAACAATTATCAAAACGGGTGGGTGACATTGATGTAGCAATACAAGTAAGCATAGGGTCATGAAAACTATGAATATGTCTTTATAGTGAGATAAGCTGTACATCGCACATTTGTTATTCATATTTTATAACGTATTTAATATAATCCGGATGAACGATATAAAAGAAATAACGGTAGTGGGGAGACAGTTGCTCTATATTCGTTGGAGAATTTATACTTCCGTTTTATTAAAATTATTGTGGTAGGGGAAAATTGGTTAGCAATTAATATTGTTGTTGGGCGACTGGTCGTTATTAAATAAAAAAAACGATTATGAACTACGTATAAAATTAATATATTGGTTATAATATAATGTAGGAACTGTCATTAGAAAAGAATGCGACTACACCAAATTTAAAAGTTCGTAATAATTATTTTATAACTTTTCAAAGCTTTTACAAGATTTTCCTTCGGAGTTTTCTTTATAGGTGGTACCTATAATACATTTAATACTTTTTAGTTACTACTTAATAGTAGTTCAATAATACTTTTTTACATATTATACGAAGAATATAAATATTATAGTTTTCACACCGTATACAAATACAAACTCATTTTAAATAAAAAACTCATTTAACACAACTTGCAACCCATAATTTAGAAAACTGGCTTACGTTATTTTTATAACTCAAAACAATGTAGAGAGAATATTCAGTTTACAGAGTTTACAGTAACTTACTTAACATATTAAATATAGAAGACACATTAGAAAATAGTATTTTATACTGAATTACTTGAGTAAATCCTTTATTTTAGAGGGGGATGACAAATATGATCCCTCTTTGCTCTGTTCTTTGCCACTGATCTGAATTATTGTTGTCAGTATAGAACTGCTATCTATCAAATAAAATATTAAATCTTGAAGTAAAATATCTCTTTATAAGCCTTGTTATAGGTACTTAAGTTCTAATGTGTTTAAAATAATAAATGCAATAGTTTATTTGTTTTATTTTAAATTTATAATCAATCCGTGGACTGGATTCAACTATTCAACTATTAAATCATCATAAAAATTATCTTCAGAGAAGTGATAAATCACTTCCTTGCAGTGGCCTCACAAATACGTCACTAATGTATAGTACGTATATTTTATAAGTTGAAGTAATTTTGTTGAGGTTAATAAAAGATAATATTAAATAATACATTAATACAGTTGAATAATTTAATAAAGTAGGATACATTTAATAATAATTATCTTGTGTAAAACTTATTAAATTATAACATTTTTAAAATAGAATGTTCTTAAGAATAAAATTGTTAGCTTAATGTAATATACCAGTGATTAAAACTAAATTTGAGAATATTCCTTATTTTAGAAAACTTTTACAACTATACAAGGTATTGTGTTATTATTACTTATTTCTTCTCTCCCGCTAAGAAAATTAGGGTTAAAAATAATAACAAAAAAAACAAATGTGAAATACTGAAATGGTATTTTTTACATTTAAAATAATACAAATAACACTGTCAA